AAACTAAATACAACCTATAGTCAAATACGGAGGACTACAAAATTATTTATATAATTAAAACAAGTACAAGCACTTTACTAACAATCACAGTTAATTTACAAATCTTTAAATCTTACATCTTGGCAAATGACATTAAAAACACGAATCAACTGAACGCGAGACCACCCTATTAAATACGTCTTTAACAAACAATGTTCAGCTTTTCTAAATATGTGTTTTGCTTCTTTTTCCACCTTCAATTTGTGTTTTTTAAAATATATTTTTCCATCATTTTTTGTTTTGTTTTTGGTTTAAATGTTTATCTAAAACAGTTTTTATATATATATATATATATATATATATATACAAATACAGATTAAAATGATGAAATGCAGGCTGTTGGTAAATCTGTGAAAAATATGACAGGGGTTACAACAGGATTTCTTCCTCAATAATTTATGATTATCAATCTGTAGTTCAATTATAGCTTTCATGTTTGTAACTGAGGGCCTTCCTCAACTTGCCATCCTCATGATAGATCTTATGTTAAAAGTTGAGCAAAAAAGATTTTAAAGATAATGACATTCACATATGCAATAAACATGCAATATTACTTTAATGCTGGAAAACATGCTGTGCACATACATATGTAAATATGCAGATCTATTTTTAATTCTAAAAATGCACAGACTTAGTAGGCATTCTACTTATTATCTTTCATTTAGCTGTTCCAGATCTAAGTGTCCAAAAGTATAATGATGACATGAGCCATTTGTCTTGTTTTCTTTCAAGTCAACCTGGTCTAACCGGTCCTTAAGAGTTTTTGATGTTGTGGCTGCCATTGTTTTGGTTGTTTCAGTTTTGTAATTTTATATTTTCTTCACTTGTACTGGTAATGTGTATTTCATTGTAAGGAATGACTTTTCTGTGCCACTGATTGTCTCAAATAACATTTGTCAAAACAGACAGAAATGTAATAAGACTGAAATGATGAGGAAAAACTGTAAGTGCTTTAGAACCAACACTTATTTGCAGGTGTAAAGGGAGAGCATTTCCAGAAAGTCAGGTCCTGGTATTCTTACTGTCATAATCTATGGTCCTGATTGCCATTTTGTCTAAAAATCAATGTGCTTCCAGACCCCTAAACTTTCAGGACTTAGATATGCAGTATTATGACTGAAGATGAAAGCTATCTTCTGAATTTTTGCTTGAATTTGTTGTTGAAAGGTTTATAAAGTAGTAGTGTCTCATTCAGGATAGATCATGCAGTCACTGCAAGAAGTAATGCTTGCCTGGCTTCATCTGATACGGGTTTTTGAAGGTCATCGCACATATTTTCAAATCGAAGTTACTAGTAGTCGTGCTTATACGCAATATTGTACATTTCACCATTATGATGTCAGAAAATTACAATAATTTAGTGAAGCAGCATGCAGAACTTTGTTCCTCCAGTGACAGCAGCTCCTTAATGTATAATGTCCACCTGAACTTGTACAGTTAAAAGACAGGGAAACTCTGGGATAGTACCTTTTTAAATTGATTTAACTTGCAGAAAAACCTTTTGTGAGCACGTAATGAGTAAAGATTGATTGGCCTGGGTTCAATCCACGAAGCTAATCTTAGTCCAAATCAGCAAACCTGAATTTTGGCCTGTAATTTTTGCTAGCATCACTTCTCACAGTGCACAAAAACTCATTAAACCTTTTAAGCGCACATGCATACTGTATAATCTTAGAATGACTCCACAATGTGGATGTTACAGTTTGCAGATACTCTGAATTATTCTATTATGCCACTTTATTTGGAGTGTACATTTTCTGTTACAGTCAAGGAAAATGTCCATCCATCCTATGTATCTGCAGTGTGATGTTTTTCTTTAATGCTCCAATCGACTGACAGCGGGTGAGAGGAATAACATAACCTTACACTGCACCGCTTGAATTTGAACATGTATGATTATAGAAGTACTGTATTTCCTCATATTTGCTTTGTATTGTATGCAAATGGATCTGAAGAATGTCAACTGTGGTTCTGTTGAGTTTAAAGAGTCATATCCCATAGCTGTGGCCAATGCAAATCACCTAGGAGATTCTGAAGTAGACATTGCTTAAGTACACAAAACAGGCAGATGTTGTAAGTGCCTCTATGAGGCCCCTTTAGGCTCTGATGTCAGATTAGGAGTTCATGCAAACTAGCTAGATTTAACTAGCTAAACCTTCGAAGCAATGCTTAATAGATGAGTGGTTATTATTGAATATGTACATATCTGTATCTACACATGTGAATACATTAAAGTCATATGAAATTAATATACTGTAATATACTATATGTATACTTTGAGAGTGTGGGCAGGAGGTTTCATAACAGCAGATTCTGACAGAGTTCAATGATTTGTCATTAGCAAGGTGTACGGTTTTATCCTGCAGGTTTCTCAGTGAAGTGCCAAACTAATCTCACTACACCACTAATTCCTAACTACACCGCTCGACATGTGACAGAACCTGGTCTTCTGGTTATATACATATTACGTCTGCATTTCAAAAACAAAGTATGTTTGTTTGTTTTTTGTACTATTTCCATGCGATATGGTTATTTTTAAGGCATACCATTATTAATTCAGCTATAATGACAACTTACAGGGAAATTCGTTCTCGGTTGTTTGTTTGGACAAGAACTGGTCCTACACGGGGTAAATGCACTGTACAGTAAATGTAAATATTGCAGGGGTTGTTGTTAATGTATCCTGAAAGGCAGTGTATGGTATTATACAGTAGATGCTCATGGATTTGGTAAGCAGAGGAATATAAAATGTACTGTACTGTGTGTCTGTTGCTATGGTGCATAATTTGGTTTTGCATTAAGAGGATGGTCAACCTAGCTTGTTATATCCACTAAATGAGTGCTACATAGCCTAATGTAATGCAAAATGCGCAGATCAAAGTTGAACTATTCCTTTAATTGGCACCAGGAACCTGATTTATAAACATTTGCTGGTAGAATGACGGTACCTCAAGACAAACTTATGAGTGTAATATAGCAATATGACAAAGACAGCAGTGATGCCAAAGAGCGATTTATTTGGAGTGTTGGTCTTTTAAGGACACCAGAAGTCTGTGAAGAATAAGAGTATCTTATTAACATTAATATATCTTGTTAACATCCTTTTTACAGGACAGAGTTTTATTCTTTTGGTACTACGCATATTTTTAGCTCTATCATATGGTAATTTGGGAATAAGAACAATGTGCACAAGGTAATTTGGCGGAAATAATGTAACTTTGACCTGCATCAGTGAATAAGCTGTTATGATTTATAATACTAGTGCTGGGTGTAACAACACAAAGGCTGCTTTGGCACTGTTTCAGGACGGCACTGCTGCCAGAACAAATAAAGACAAAGACAGAAAAGTCTGGTTTGTATCCAAACAAACAGTGGTGTGTTGGTATACTATAATGGATAATGTCTTTAGACTTGTATGCATGTACACTATTTGTGAAAAATTTAACACAGAAGAAGACATATTTAGGAATTTATAAATCTGACTCTAAGATTGCTTTAACTTGATTTCGTGCAGACACATTTGGGAAATTACCTCAGATTTATGCATCTGGCACCAGGAGAAGGTCCTGCTTACATAATCAAAATACTATTTTAACACAATTATAGAGTCTATGGTTAATGGGTGAGCAACCATGGTGGTTTAGATTAATAGGTGCTGATTCTTCCTCATGATGAAAGCCGCCTTAATTCTTGACTAAATCCTTCACATTTACTGAGCAACTTGCCTTTAACAAATATGAACTGTGTCTCGCTTTTCTCTGGAGAAAAACTACAACTATACAGTGGAAATTGACAGAAGAAGAGGGTGAAACGAAGAGCAGACGGGAAGAGCCGATGTGGCTGCTCATAAGAGATGATGTTTGTATTGTGGGTTGATGTGTGCTGGTGAGACCAGAACAGAAGTGTTTAATCTCCCAGTAAATAATGCATGATGCCAGCACATGTGATTCAAGAACTGTTTGCCGTAACTGTGGGCAAAGACTTCAAAATACTCCACTCTTGTTGTCAAACATTTTCTTGAATTTGCACCTGTGCCTGCATGATGTATAGCTTAAGTTGGGGGTTAAACTTCCTGAAATGGTGTCAGCCAAGTTTGTAAATCCACTAAGTACAATAATCTCTTTTGTAAATGTAAAAAAAACCATCCATGAATAGCAGTGCGTATGTTTGTATGTGTCCATCTGTCAAAAAATGTGTTTTTCCATGAAGTGTACATATCATTCAAATGAAAATGTTTGCATACACGTACATATGCAAGCGTGCACACACACACATACACACACACACACACACACATATTAGTGAGTAATCATCATCTCCCTATCACCTTACTTTGTTAGCTTTGAAATGCTCTGTACATGATTCACTCCTCTGTAAAGGTGATGGCTATATTTGTTGAGAGTTGGCAGAGTGGAGAGCATGGTGCTGGTCAGCTGGCTGGCAGCTTGTTTCATTCAGTCTGTTGTTTCTTTTTCTAATATTGTCAGCCACACGTTTTAATGTTGCCATTTCCTATGTGCCAACGTTGTGTGTGTATGTCGGAGATAGACATGTTTTTTGTAGCTGTACTAGAGTTGTCATCACAGTTTAAATTTATGCACTTCATTCTGACATGCACAGTTAACCAGCAGTTTACAGGTAATGGTAATCCCTGATTACTTCCCTATTGTACATAATGTCAGTAACACTATGAAACTGTGTTATGGAAATCCATGCAATTGGCAAATTTCAAATATGAGAACAAGAAAAATCATAAATTTATGACCAAGATTGCTTTATATTAGTCGAGCACTTCTATAAACCAATCTAAATACATGTGCTTACTCGTAATGTTACAAGTTTAGTTAAGTTTCAATTTCACTGAACAAGTGAACATTTTTTTTTTTTTTTTTTTTTTTTAACAAATAATGTCTATTCTCTGTGAACTTAATATTAATGGCTTTCTGTTCTTGTCTTCACAGTGTTAAGTTTCTAGCATTCGCCCTCTCTCTAATGAGGAGTCAGTAACCGGTAAACACAAATTTGCGGCGGGAGCCACGTAAGCGACAGGTGTGACACGGATGGACAGTTTAAAGGAGATCTTTGGGGTGACAAGAGAGAGACCAGAGGTTAATCATGAATTAAAAAATCATATGGTCTGCTCCTCACGTTGTTACCAAAGCAGCCTCTTGGAACTCCGACCATACTTTTGACAACTTGTCTGACTGACCTTTTTTCTTTTTCTTTTTTTTTTCCTCTTTTTTCGGCAAACTGACTGAGCATTGCACTGACACACTTTGGGAGAGAGAAGGACTCCTGATTACACATTCCAGATGACATCTCTATGACAACACTATACTCGCCATCTTGTATGATGACCAACTCAGTACCATCTACAGTGCTGAACAACTGCGCAACTTCATGTTTCTGAGAAAAAAACAAACAAACAAACAAACAAAAAAAAAAAATACCAACACTTGTCTTCACAAAGGACTGAATGAACAATGTAGCATCTCTGCTAACATATTGTAGCATTTGTTGGCCGGGAAATAACTTGACTTAATCCATCAACAGTTTGAAGAGAGAGGAATTTATGCATACAAGGGATCTTTTAGATGTCATTCTCCTCTTGGGTTCCTTTCCAGTGAAGAAGAAAAAAAATAAATAGAAAGTACATGAGAGACAAAGGATTGATCTTACTCATTAACACTTGACATTCCAAAAAAACAAAAAACAAAAAAAAAATCGATGCACTAAATACAAGCAGTGCACATGAACTTAATCACAAATGCACAGTATCTAACAGCACCCATACTGCAGTCTTTCATTCAAGTTTAGCACTTGTATAGCATGTTTGCCACTGAACTTATGTCTTCCATTCACTTCTATCCGGCTTAAACACTGCCCTCCTCACAAATACTGAGATAATCAGAAACAACAACAACATATGAAGCACATGTAGCATCGGCTCAAACAGATCATGTCTGGCACATACTGTACATTTAGACCCACCTAAAACATTCCCCATAAGAAAATGGTGGAGAAAAAAAAAAGACTTATCTTTATCTCTCATGTACTGCCATGGGCTAGCCCCAGAATCCGTGTGGGATACCAAAGGTCCTGTAGCATGCACTTGCTGAATGACCTTCTGTAATGTATTGTAGATTAGGAGAAATATTCCATTCAGGATGAGGTTTGTACTCGCCCTCATACTGGCCATTGTCTCTGTTTGGTACAAAGTCATTCCTCTAAAAGAACTTATGTCCTTTAACTGCCACTAGCATCCCATTCCTATCTGCACATTTAAATGTTACAAGTATTTTTCCCATGTCTGACTGAGACAGTGCTCAGTCTCGAGGAGCGAAAAGACTGACTCAAGGAGACAAAAATCCTAGAGACAACTGTCAGTCTGTCTTCTATATCAGAGGATATTGGCTGGCCTAAATCGCAACGAAAAGGACATCATTATCACAAAGGCACTTTTTACGTCACACACATAACTGTTCATTAGCTGGAAATTATGTGCTATCATTTTTAAAAGGGACCAATCAGATAAATGTTCCCCTGTAACACAAAGGCCGACACTGCCAATTAGGCACAAGAATTCCCAGACGCATACTGCCCCATCTCTCTCTTGTCCCTCTTGCTGCCAACGACTGCTGCAATGGCAAGTCGATGTCAAAATAAGGATGGCCCATCAGTGGAGCCCTTAGGCAAAGGGGAAAATGAGAAGAAATGGACCAAGAGTAGAGCAAAGTGTGGAAGTGTACAAAGAGATCAAATCTATATTTTGATAAACAAATCAACTATCCATGGCTTCGGAAAAAGTTTCTGGGAAGAAAAGGTCCAGAATGGAAGAAAGAAAAAAAAAAAAAATATCAGATGCAAATGTGAATAGAAAATTTGGCATCATGAAATGGAGTCAAAGTCGTGGAAAAAGAGATCGGAAGCGAATGTTTTGTCACGAGAGGTGGGCGAACGCGTTTTCCCCACACGCAGCGGGAAAATGTTTTTGGAAAGACAGTGAGCGATGACAGACTCTTGCCTGTAAAGACATGGGAATGACAAAGGATGGACGCTGAGATAAACAAATGAAAAAAAAAAAAAGATAATGCATTTTTGTAACTTTGTTTACCAGCATGACTACTTTGCATGACTGTCTTTTCTGCAAGCCCTTAGTTGAAGACAAGGGTGCTAGAGATACAAAAAAAAAGTATATATAAAATGAATTAAAAAAATGTTATATGCAATTAATGTTTTAAAAAAGATTATAATGAAAGAGAAGAGCTATATTTTGTTTTGAAAAGTAAAAAAAATGTGAATATTGAAACATGTATGTTTGCAAAGTACACCCTGAACTATGTTTTGTTCGATGAAATCTCTCTGCTACTACTGCCCTACATTCCTCATTCCAGTCTTTTCGATGGTTTTACTTTGTAACGCGTTGTTGAGCAGTATATTTTCTAACCATTCTATCAACAGCGATCATTCAAGACTTTGCCAAACTATAGCATTTGTGCAAAAGAACGCAACAATTCACAAAGTTCTTTCTTTTCTTTTTTTTTTTTCCTTCCTTGAATCATTTGCACAACTTAACGTAGCAGCAGCAGCAACAGCAGCAGTTCTAAAACAACAGCTCACCATACCACAACTTTGACTGCTTGATTAGTACTCATAGTTTGCTTTTTTTTTTTTCTTTGGCAATAATACAAGAGTTGTCACTTGATTGTAGCAGGGCACACGGAGACCCTCAAGAGTATCTTCAATTCCTCAGTGTTAAAAGAGATTCGTAAAGGCCTTGGATGTCCCATGGCAGGATTTTGCTGGGATGGGCAGTTCTGTTCCACTTGTCCTAAGTAGAGAAATGGGAGTACAAGCGCAGGTTATCCAATAAAGACCAATAACAGACTATGAGAGATACTATACCGCATTGGCGAAGAGTCGAGAGAGATTTCAGGTTTGCATGGAACCAACTGCCATTCCAAAGTTTGTGTGTGGTTTAAAGGACTCAGGTGTGTCGATGGTGTGTGTGGATGTAGGTGTTTTGCTATTTCCTTTCTAACATAATAAATTCTAGTATATAGACAACGATAATGTGAACACCTCACAGTGATGTGTAAAAAAACGCATGCATTATGACTTGATAATCTCTCGAGGGGGGAACAGAGTCTTTACATATCCCCTTAGCCTCCTATCATTGTTTGTCATGAATCCAGTCCTGATAACTATGAACACTGTGCCGTGTCGTAGAGCAGAAACGTCTTCCTCCCAGAGGCAACTGAAAACTACTCACACTCACAGTGTCAGCATGAGTGTGTAAGGTAGCCTGTCTTCGTTTTTTTTTTTTTTTTTTTTTTTTTTTTTTTTTTTTTTTTTTTTAGATGGTCAGGTCTTTGCATCCGTCAATACCCATGGAGTTACCGTCATCCAGCTGGCTAGTTGGCAGCTCATTATAGCACACAACACATTCATGTGAGCGCCAATCAAAGAGACCCAGAGCTTCCAAAATGATGTCAGTGAGGTACTTTTAAGTGTTGCAAGAAAAAAAAAAAAAAAATGAGCGAAACCAGGGCCCACCGGGGGGGGATTGATGTTTAAAAAAAAAAGGAAAAAAAAAAAGGCTTGCTTTAAAAAAAAACAAAAAAAACCCATCTCATTGTTGAGTGCTCTCCAAGCACCTCACCCTTGGTTTGGAATTCCAAGTGAGTTTCAGGCCCTGCTGGTTCAGGGCTCAGCTCAGGCAGCTGAATGGTCCGCCGTCCATTCTTGGTACATTGCAGTTGGAGGCTCACCAGTATATGAGACTCAATGGTGTGATGTAGACTACAGAGACTATTCGAGAATTCTGTTGAGTCTGTGTTGGTTTTACAGGGTCTAGAACTTACTTTTGTCTATTTGCAAAAATGTTCCATGGGATTTTGTTTTGGTCCCTTATCTTTTTAAAACTCCCGATTTCAGTTCCCATTTTGGAAGGCATTAAGCAACTATGGCTTTGATGGTCACAAAGATGTTTATGAATATTTCAGAGGTAAACTTCTAGCAATGGGGTGCACACTTGCAAAAACTTTGTGCTTCACCCAGCTGTTTGTGTTTTTACGGCCATGTACTGTCTTTTTTTTTTCTTTCTGTATCACTGTTAATTTTGCCATTTCTTCATTCTCTACATTGTGACTGCTCTGCCAATGCCAGGCTGAAAAAGATGTCTTTCCTTTTCTATTGCATAATACTGCCATTTGATTTAGTCATGTTGAACAGAATGAGTTACAATGTTGAGAGTGCTAAGTCTGTTTTACTTTCTAAACTTTGCAATCTGTTACAAAATGTTAAGAGATTTCCTGTGTAACACTCACATAACCAAAATAACAAAAATGCTTTACATGGTAAGTAGATGCCACTGTTAACCTAACAGCTACTATGTGTAATGACAATATTATGACATGTCCTCTCCAGGTGTTTGGAAGGTGTTATGTGGTCCTTGGATGACACATGCTTAAATTATATCCTATGTATTTTCTTTATGTGCCTGTTTCTGTTTAATATGTTTTTTGTTTGTTTAATTGAGGACACAGTATGCAATCTGCACCACGAATGCCACTGATCGACACTTACTGTATGCTCCCTGAGACACAGATGTTCTGTCATCAGTCCAGATGATTGCAACCACATGTATAGTGGCTTTATGGCTCTCCATAGAGTGACTTAGCAATCACACTAATCAAAAAATATTTTATTTTACAAAGTGATAAGACCAGAGTTGTTTTAGAGGAAATGTTATCATGCTGAATAGATTTTTCTAATAGAGTTAATATCTTATTTTAATTAGAAATAATGTGATATACACCACAAAAGTCATACCGATATACTTACATCTAATATTACAGACTAACATCATGCATTCACGTAAGCATTCCAAAGATAAAAGATGTGTGTTCATTTTACATGCCATCAAATTGTATAAAACAGACTTAGGTACTAGTCCATTGTACTGCGGTCTTAGTAGGAGAGTGAATGGGGAGAAGAGGTGGTCACTGGAGCATCTGGTTGTGACTTATGCCGGATTTTATTTTTGAAATGTTGGAACACAAAGAACAACTCATCAAGAACTGTATAAAGTATATTTCAATGGAATGTTCATGATCTATCTTTTTATATTTTGAAGAAAAAAATAGAAACATATCAATAAAGTGTCATAATTGAACATATTTCTACTATTGAGACTTAAAATGTATGAATGTCAATGCGATCTAATGTGAACCAATCTCCATAGCAGCTTGAATGAATAACTGATTAACAGTCATGAGATGCTTTTTCAGAAACATTAAAATTGCTTAAAATCATTGAAATGAACTCAAAATAAATTAAAAGGTGACATCAATGGTGTGTCAGTTTGTTTCAGATTTAAAGCTGATGAAATGTGTGCTCCTGTGCAAACTGACTGATACTATCCTGTACACTGACTGTCACAGTTAACGCGATTCATCAGCCTGTCAGGAACACGATACCACAATACACTGATTGATATAATCTGATTTGAACAGAGGACAAAATGAAAATCAAAGAGTCTTCCAAGAAACTGAAGGATGACACATTAAATTTGTATCTGGAAGTTTTAGGACATAGCGTGTTTAGATGGCAGCATTTCCAAGAAGGTCCAACTTTTAAGTTTCTCTTTCAGCCAGAGACCGCTGCATTAAACCATTTTGAGTTTCTAAAATAAAGACTTGTCACATAATGGCAATCTATAATTTTGAGGTCATCTGTAACTGTGTCATGATATTTGAGAATGATGAGATAATGTAAGTGCGGTTTCCCTTGCATAATATCAAATAACTGTAACTGTAACTTCTAATATGCAAGAAACCGAACACCAACATGAAATATTTTTTTAACGGAACTGATACAGAATAATTTTGTTCTTGGACACGAAGAAAACAGGATGGACAAACTGAAAACAAAAATTTTTACTGTAATTTTGAAGTCACTAAGTCAGACTTAGAAAAGCAGCTACACAGTCATTAATTAGAATTCCAATAAACCATTGAGGTATAACAAACTACTGGAAAAGTGGACAAATGCAATGCTTCTAAATATAGTATAATATAGCATATAGTAAATATAGTATAATAAATTTTCTTTTTTGAAAATACTCATATCCACGATGAAGGCACTAAACCATATGCTGGTGTAAGGACCACATGGCAACAAATATGGTCTGATGAGTCACCTATTTTCTGCTCATGGATATCCACTGTCTGTTTCAAACATTGGCTCTGTGGTGTTGCATCTGTGGTGGTATCTGTTATCACAAACCCTCATGAATGCTCTGCATAGCTGCATGAAAACTAAAGAATTTAAAGCCATTTTACAACTAGAAGCTCTGTCACAGCTTAGAACAACTAAATATGACAAAATGATCATTTTGCGTTTGATTGTCACATCCTTCAAACACAAAAAAACTAGAGGAATTCCTTACTGCATTCAGTTCATTCTTAATATTCATACAGTTTTATTTTGTATATTAAAGTAGCAGCAAGGTGAGCAGTGTATTTTGTCTTTGGCTGAAGGCAAGTATGAGGAAATGTCGGCAGAGGCCTCTCTCTAAGTTTTTTTTTTCTTTTTTGTACCAAAACATTACCTCCCTCTGGTGGGTATACAGAGTAGTGTCTGCTTCAGTTGGTTCAGATGGTTAAAGACTTATAATAACAGGAAATCTTACTGATTGGTGATTTACTGATTTAGACTTGAATTTTTTTTATTTTTTTGTGTTTGCTTGTTCTTATTTGTTTCAACCACAAACTCAAAATGAACTGAAAATATGGATGCACTAGCCTACAAAAAAATTATTATCATTATTATCATTATAATAATAATAATTATTATTATTATTATAAGAAAGAAAGTGTCATGCAGTGTGACACAGCTCTATGATTCAATTTCACATTTTACATATTTTACATTTTAGCTGTCACTGACAGCTTGAATCATTTTATTTTTACAGTATTTCAATAGAAAACATTTGTGTTTGCCAACAGATCATCTCTTTGGGGTTCTGATTAATGTGTTTGCCAAAAATGATACACACAAAATAAGAGATATCTATGCTATTTTGTCTATTTGCAGTAAGTATGTTAGTTTGTCCCTTTGTATGGTAGCAGACACCATGATTTTACAGCTATCTACATCCTAATATTCAGTCCTCTAAGGTTCAGGTGGTGACTGTTTTCCCTGCTGAAGCATGTTGTGTGACACACAGCTATCCCGTGGGGGTGAGCAACAGATTGAGAGACTGTCAGGGGCTGATCATGATTTGGAAGCAATGAAGAGGAGGCAGATAAGGGTCCAATTATTTTTGAATTCAAAGCATCATTATCCTTGAAATGAGGGGGGAAATATGAGAAAGCTAAATAAAACTAGCATGTGGTAAATAAGCAAGCAAAGCAGGAAAAGCACAGGTGTATTTAAAAATTAATCATGGCTGCATTCCACTTACCGCATGTGCTGAATGATTGAATGGCTTACTGGGACACTTAATGGAACTCAGCCATCTTTAATGTTAATAATTACATATATTAAGACAAGTCAACATATCTGCTGGGAAAAAGGTCTTGTAAGGCAAAAACAAATCTTATTTTATACGTCTCTACAACAGCCTCTACTATTCTACTTTTACTAGGCCTACTGTTTGACCCTTTTTCATTTACTGTTACATCTGCTTAGCCTACTCTATGCCAATGCTAACATTACAGGTAGGCTATAACAATTAAGCTACAACTGCCAAAAGTTTTAGCCCATAAACAATAATTACGTGACAGCAAAACATGCACAACACAGCAATTTATGCTTTCTTTCAACAAGTAACACAAATTTACAGACATAAGTACATGGACTGAAGGATGGCACATTAGCCTAAATGTTTATGTTAAATGCTAATGTAAATGCTAATGAGCATGTAGCTAATGAGCATGTAGCTCTTTCCCTTGAAGTCACACCAATAACTGTCCTACACTTGGCAAGGACACAAAGTTGTTTGCTATGATGATTTTTAATGAAACAACCAAAGAAGGCTCGGAAATTTAAGAATGAATGCTATCAAACTACTTTATCTCTGTACACAAACTCCATTTCTGGTAGCTAGCTTGCAATACTATCAAGTAAAAAACAAACAAATGAGGCAACGCAGGTTTGCTTCATAACTGCATAAGTGTGCTGACTTACTTGTGAGCATTCTGATTAGCTGCTAAGCAGTTAAACATAGTAATTTAACATTAAACATTTGCTGCTTATGTATGTTTTTTCCCTTCAACTATTGCTAGAGCATACAATCCATTGATTTTAGTTTTTAAATAATACACCTTCAAATAAAATAATTTTGAGGTAATGAGCCTCATAACCTCAAAATCTCTCACTGTACCTCATTAAACTAGGTACAGTGAGAGACCTCTGTCAGTCAGAGTACCATACTTGTTAGAGGGGGTCACACCACGCAGTGCCAGGCAAACGTGACATTTGATAGGGAGGTTGAAGGTTGTCTCGCCCCATAGCTAAAATGGAGGGAAAGGACAGGGAGGGGTCGGAGGGGTCTAAAGAGATTGAATTTCAACAGGACAGCAATCCCAAAAAATTTCAAGACAGACAACGTGAGGCAGCAAGGGACAGGACAGGATCGTGGATGTTCCCTGAGCAAACAACTGGAAGTGCAAGTTGTGTACAAGCTGGCCGGAGAGTTTAGCTGGACTGTCAGTAGACCTCTGTGTGAGTGTCGATTGAAGGTAGACAGCCAAACAAGGACTTTGTGTATATGACAGACGGACATGATGACAGAAAGAAAGACGGACAACCTGATGAGCCATGGGAGGCACACAATGTGATTTTTCATCCTGCCATTAGTGACTGTCAGCAGCTATTTTACATTTAGTGAGTAAATACTTTCATTTACTGGGAACTAACATGGCTTGTTGTTTGTAATTTCTATCCACTGTAATCCACAGTTCACATTTTAAATGAGATAAAAAATTATTAAGGTAACATTTCAAAGAGTCTTTTAGCAGATTTTGTGGTGAATAAGTATGTTTAACTGTGATGAAATATGTCAGGAAAATTGTAAAGAACCAACACTTCAGCCATTTGCTTTTATTTCCATTTGTAATACTTATCAACTGAAAACCAAATCCACTGATGAAACTATTACTCTAGTTTCAGATATGGTTTGCTTTTAAGTCCAGTTGTTCTCCAAATTCTCAGGAGAGTGGTTTGCCTCGTTCCCCGGTCTGGGATACTTAAAGGGATGGACAGCAGTGACCCACAGGATGATGAAAGAGGAAGCATAAGGAAAGAGAATGATGGAGAAAAAGATAAACAACTGAAGAACCAGCTCAACAGTGAGGAAAAAGGAGAGAAGGAGATCAAAGGAAATGAGAAGGAGAAGAAGAAAGAGAGCCGACGTTCTGGGTCTCTATGGAGGAGTGGATGGGCTTTGAGTGAAAGACTCGCCATCAATGTCTCAGGGATGCGTTACGAAACTCAGCTCCGCACCTTAGCCCAGTTCCCTGACTCCATGCTTGGTGACCCCAGGCGGAGGTCACGGTACTTTGACCCGCTGCGAAATGAGCTCTTCCTGGACCGCAATCGGGCCTGCTTTGATGCCATTCTGTATTTTTACCAGTCAGGCGGGAGGCTTCGCAGGCCAGCAAACATACCCCTGGACATCTTCATGGATGAGCTGTTGTTCTACGAGCTCGGAGAGGAAATCATGAACCGCTTCAAGGAGGACGAAGGTTTTCCAAAAGAGGAGGAGAGGCCGCTGCCATCCAATGAAATCCAGAAAAGACTGTGGATGCTGTTTGAGCACCCTGAGTCCTCATCGGGTGCACGTATCATAGCCATCATCAGTGTTATGGTCATTGTGGTGTCCATCCTCATCTTCTGCCTGGAGACACTGCCTGACTTCAGGAATGAGAAAGAGTCACGAGAGGTAGGAAATGTGATTGAAGTGTTGCTGTAGGTGTGGGAGGATGAACAGTGTGTGAAGAGTTTTGTTTAGGGTTCTTAAGGGTTTCCAAATTTCAGGAAAGTCAGGTGAATGGCATAATGAATAAAGACGATGGTAAGTATTCTCCATTAAAACATGCTTTAGTCACCTTTACGGCATTTATGTGAGTAACAGAATGGGTGGCAGTATAAAAACAACTGGGAATGCTCTCAACAGAGGAATCTGCGAATTAAATGAAATCAAATTTAAAATTTATGGCGTGTATGGGAAGTATTGGTTAAAGGTCTTATTGGACATGAGAGAATATGTTGCCAGCTCTCTCTACTTGAAAAATCAGCCCTATCACTCAATCTTTTGCATGTCTTTATGTCATGGCTTTATGTTCAATATCACACCACTTAATTCAGTGCCACTCGCTAAAACAGACTGCTAAAAGTTATTAATAATGCCTGAATCAAACCACCAGGGAATAAGGTCTTGAATGGGATGTGTGTGACTGCTTGGGTCAAAAGGAAACATGATATCATTGGAAGCAGGTGTTTAGGTAAACACACACTTGGTGAGTACTACAGTGTGTTAAGAGGAAAAACACTGACATGGGCAAAACTATTGGCCAATATGTCTGGAAGCAGACCAGAGAGTGAGTGAGAGAAAGAGGGAGAGAGACTAAGGGAAGCTTATGGTGTGATTATTTTAGTCGGCTGTTAAATTTGATACACTTGGATTCAGGAAGCGCTAAAGGGTACAGGGAGTAATGGGTGGGGCCTGGAATACAAATAAAAGGAGAGAAAGGGAAGATATTGTGAAGAGACAGTTAGGTGTGTTAATGAAAGGTCACACAAGTGACCGAACACATAGACAAAGGTGAGCCAAAGCTTTCCGGTGGCTTAGAACCGGAGACTAAAAGGTCTCACAGGATGAGTAGCATACGTTGGGTCATGTTAACACATTCCTTCAGGACTGCTGCGCTAGGCCAGGCTGCCTTTGCACAAGCGAGCTGCCAGGAAACTACTGTAACTTACTCCTCTCCAAGTCAGCGGCAGACCCACTGAACTGCATTGGCAATGTTACTCGCATGTAGTGGCCAGGGAGATGGGATAGCGACGAAGGTGGAGATGGATGAGGAGAGGTGCAGCGAGACGCTCATGTTTCTCTTCGGAGATCTCACAAGGTTATATATAGTCTTAGGAGAGCCCTTGGTGCAGATCAACACATAGATGTCTACCTTTAGCAATAAACACTGTCACTGACCTGCTACTGAAAGCCATAAGAAATGCTCTAGGTTCATTTAAACTCCCCTGAAACTTTATATATTACACGCAGCCCATTATAGCATGCTGATCCTTTTATATATCCATACGATCCGTTTTCATGCTTCTAACTTGATGTTGTATAAGATGTTTTTAATGGCCACCCTCTAATGCTTGAATGTAATGCTAACTGATACGGAAGATGGAATGACAGGTGGACTGAAAAAGAGATTGCTACAGCTATGATTGAAATGTAAAGCCGCAGATGTCAAGCGCTTTTATGATGCTGCCAAAAGTGTGAACCAATGAGATGGTGGACAACATACTGAAATTCAATGTAGTTTAATAGGACACCACGAAACAGTATCTCAGCAGTACTATGTAAACTACTTTTTATTCACATTATTGCTGAGACGGATGAGAAGAATGATATTGCTCATGGCTATATAGTAAATATGAAGCTATAGCCACTAGCCTGTAAGCTTAGCTTAGCAGACTGGTAAGAAGGGGAAACAACTAGCTTGGGTCTGTTCAAAGTAAAAAAAATCTACATAGCCTACCAGCACCTCTAAAACTCAGTAATTCACACATTACATCTTCTTTTTCTAACCTATACAAAAACAGATTCATAATAATATCAATTCCCCATTTTATGAAGGGTTATGTGCCATGCTATTTCTTGGCCATGAATTTTTACACTTTTGGCTTTTGTACAAATTAAACAAACAAGATATAATGTATTACTTAGTGAGTGGTGCTTGTAGGGGGATTTTGTTACTTTTGGAAAGAGCCAAGCCAAGCTTCCATTCCTTTTGCTTATCTAAGCTAAGCTAACTGGATGCTGGTTTTAGCTTTATTATTACCATACAAACTTGAAAGTGGTACAGTATAAATCTTTGAATAAGGGAATAAGCATATTTCCCTAATTGTCATAGTCCTTTGAATGGGATTTTGTCATTTATGATTTGAAGAACAATTTGAATAATTGCAGTTGTTTATTTTTTTGTTATGGTGATATTGCTATATTTAATACGTTTTATATTTTTCCTGTCTCCTCCACTTAAGGAATATTTTTACAGGTACCACGCCCAGGCAAAGAATGTCTCCGAGAACATGCCTCCTCCACAAAGTGTTTTCCATGACCCCTTCTTCATGGTAGAAACCATGTGCATATGCTGGTTCTCCTTCGAGCTCGTCATGCGCTTCGCTTGCGCCCCCAGCAAGACGCACTTCTTCAAGGATGTCATGAACATCATCGATTTCAGTGCCATCCTGCCCTATTTTGTCACTCTGGGAACAGAGCTGGCCAAGGACAATGATGCCAGCCCAGCAACATCCTTGGCCATCATCAGAGTCATCAGGTTAGTGAGGGTGTTCAGGATCTTCAAGTTGTCTCGTCACTCAAAGGGCTTACAGATCCTTGGACAGACATTGAGGGCCAGCATGCGTGAGCTGGGCCTGCTTATCTTCTTCCTGTTTATTGGCGTCATCCTCTTCTCCAGCGCCATCTACTTTGCTGAGGCTGACCACACCAACACAGCCTTTATCAGTATACCACACGCCTTCTGGTGGGCAGTTGTCACCATGACCACAGTGGGGTATGGTGACATGTACCCAGAAACAGTGTGGGGTAAGCTGGTGGGCTCAATGTGCGCCATTGCTGGCGTGCTTACCATCTCACTTCCAGTGCCTGTCATAGTATCCAATTTTAGCTACTTCTACCACCGGGAGACTGAGTGTGAGGATCAGACGGAGTACACCCATGTCAAGACATCACTCTGGGAAGATGAGGAGCCAGAAGGGGAGGAAATAGATGAAGGGGATAGGGATCCAGAGGGGGATTATTATGCCATTGAAGGCATCTGTAACCCTCTGAATGGGACTCTGCTGGGTGGACTGTGTACAGGGCAGAGCACAGAGTTCAGAGAGGGAAACTTGTATCTGAGAGAGCCACTGGTCACTCAGGTTTAATGAGGGTACATTGTGCACTTGTCAAAACATAGTAGGAAGAGACTGAAATGGATGAATGAAAAAATAAATAAAAAAAAGTAAAAAGAAGCACATGTGGCTAAAGATGAGTTCGTCAATCAGAAGTACAGGTCCTGAAGAGAGAAACTAGCAAGAAGAAAATGACAAACAGAAACTGGCGAACTGTATAAAGCCAAAATTTTAACACTAATATACCTACTAATAACCTTTAATAGCCTTTTTTTGTTCATTTATAGTTATTTATTGCAGCACCAGCCAGCTAAATGTCACTGAAAAGCAACTTTTGTATAATATAGCTTCAAAAAAGCAAGAAAAAGACTCAAAGTGAGTACATTTTACATTCTCAGGGTCATGATATGAATATAATATGAGCTGTTTTATTTATTAATGCTATCAGCTTGTGTTTGAGATGTAAATGACTTTCTGAATGTCTGTGCCTTGAAACTATGATGTCTTAGTACTGTCACTTTGTTCCTTAATGTTCGGAATGGAAGCAGATTGATTATTGGCAATATAGATGTCATGTCTCATCAAAACTCAACACCAGCAGAGCTGTCACTGCAGATCTCTCGTAAACCAACCCCCACATTCTCGACATTCTTCTGCAAGTTATGTACAAAGTTCACACTTGTGTGGTTTTGGCTTATGTGACCTGAAGCGACTGACATGACCTTTATCATGTTGTAATACAACACTATAGCTTTACCTAATGGCACAGTGTTACCTACTGTACTCGTGTTGAAGAGGAAAGTTTTGATTGCTATGGCAGAGATTCTCTGTTTATCTGCTTAATTATGCAGTTTTTAATAAAGATTATATTTTATTAATTTTCTTAAAAGAAGCCGTGTTATTTATCGTTGCCTGTGGTAATGAGTATTTATTAAGAGAAAAGATTTAAACCTTCACTGGTGAGATACAATTGAACCCGATGCTTCACTGCTTAGGCAACTGCATCTCTAAACACAACATGCAGTCGTTGAGTTCTGCCAGACTGAATCTATGTTTCACCTTTTCCACAGCCACTAAGCTGCTATAAGCAGCCGCTTCCAATAACATTGCTCTCGATTTCACTGGAACACATAAGACTTTCCACAGGATCAGAGTGATGACCCATGGAAGGTATGTGTACTAATGTAACTTTGCTAGTGTAAACAGCTTAAATAATGTGTTTTAGTTTGTGTTACTGGTGTTAGTAACAGTCAGTAAAGAGAAAATGAGAAGAAGAAATAAACTTTTCCTGGGATAAAAACGTGATCAGCCAGTGATAGAGAAAACAAACGAAAAAATGTCTGGGATTTCCAACAGCAAACTGCCTGTTTTTGTCTGTGAAGTTGGCTAAAACGAGTTATTATTGTTTGAATTTTTACACGTGAAAACTGGTCCTGTTAAACCAATTGGAAAACTTTCACAATGCAGGGAAAGCTAAACAAACAAACAAACAACAACAATTAATCAACAAACACCACAACAAAAACTAACTAATAATTTTTGTGCTTGTGTGTTCAAGGGCTAATTTATTAAGAGGAATTTTACTTTTTTTTTAGCAGCAGACATTAATGCAATCTGACTTATGTTGGTGGTAGTGTACTGCAGCTACAGAAACTACATACTGCATTCATTTTATGTCAGTTTTCAAATGAAAACAATATTCAGGATAGAAACATCTACAGCCCTCTTCAATTCTCCTTTTTCCGTGCTATGGAAAAAAATAAACGGGAGCAGTGAGGATTTTAATTTGAAATGCATTTATTTTGCACAGAATAAAATTAAATATGTGGTAGCCTTAAGTTTTGGACCCAAGACAACCCCAGTTCAAAGATCAAGATGTCAAGTAAATTTTATTTATATAGCCTGACATGATAAATCATTAATACTATAAAATATCATAAGTCATAAATTTACCTTAAGGGGCTATACATCCTCTTCCCTATATATAGACAATTTATGGCAGCTGTCCAGAACTGTAGTTTGCAGAATGTATCATAGATTGTAGGGAAATACCACTGGTCAAATACATACACACTAAACTGTATATATACTGTATAATAGAAACATTTTGTTGTAGGTTTGACCAACCTAGACATAAGATTTACATGCTCACTACAGCCCATAAGCAAAGAGGGTTAGGGAAGTTGATCTGTCTGCCATCATTACTTATTTGTCCACTAGAGAGCGCTCCTGTCCTCACAATAATCAGCATCAATTTCATTACTCCACTATGAAAGCTGTGATCACTGGTCAGAATGAGTTCTTCTCATCCTTCCTGGTTTTATAAATGGTATGACTGAGCTGCTGGGTCATTGCATGGCGAAAAGAAACGAAAGTGAAATTTATGTCATGTTTATTTTCATTCCAAAGTCCTCTACAGTCTGATAAACACTTGAGTAGTACAAACATGAGCTTACTGGACTTTCCAGATTTCCGATTCAGAGAAACTCCAAATGCCTCATGTACCAAAACATATCAACAAGATGTTGCAACATGGAACATTTCTTCCTCAGACACAAATATGCTCTAAAACTACTAAAATCACAGAACCTGTAGTTGAATGTCTTTAAATAACCACTAGAAATACACCAATAAATACATAATAAATAAATAAGTTACAATAATATTGTCCTAATGAAAACATGCTGAGAACTGAAAATGAAAAATAAATTTTTAGAAGGTGCATATACAGTTAACGATCAGAGAGTTCATTTTCTTTACTTCTCCATTGAGAACTGAGGACTGACCATAGAATTTAGGCCCATTCCAAGAAGGTCATCAGACTCCATGTTGAAATGTCTCTGATTGTTTGGTGGTTGGTCTGACACACTATCCCCGCTCAGAGTATTCCCAAGTGGCAGGAATCGAGTGAAGGGGACCGCGTGTCGATCTGGGGAATGTTTTGATGCCAGAGACACAGGAAATCCATGGTGCGAGGAGAGGAAACGGGTGTATCCGTCTGCCAGCAGCAGCTCTCGGAAGGTGCAGTCAGCCTCTGTGTACAGTCTCTGAAAGTGGCAACAGATGTAAACTGCCAGTGAGTGACGAGAAGGACAAAGATGTTAAAGGATGTTAAGATGTTAAAAATTTTCTTTGCTTACTGTACCTGCCCCCTCAAACGGCCTCCACTGTCCACACAGAGAAACCGGGATGATGACTCTCCCTTGATGACTATATGGCCTGGTTTGACTGATTTCAGCTGCAGCACACCTGGAAACACAGAAACATAAATAGATGTGGCCTCTTCATAGATTTCTCAGTTTTCTAGGTGTATTGTGTAGATGTATCTGAAATGAAAAATATGCTAAATTGGGCCAACATATGCTGTCTGTTATTAATAATACTTACTGTAAGGAGTCTGAACATCACTTCCTGACACTCTGCCATCCAGGGTCATCTGCAAATACATGCCTCTTCTGTGGTTTTCTGCAAAAATAAGAAAGGGAGAGGGAACAACAAAATCAGCATGATAAAGTATTTAAGGTGTTTAAGATCAAAATTGTCTTGTCAAAATTCCCATATTTTCATGAAATTGTTTTTAAATTACTAAAATGAAAATAATTATAATTACCTGTGTAGAGATGCCCTTCTCTGACTTGATTATTAAAGGATAAAAGTGGGTTGGAGTCAATGAGATAAAATGACAGCGAGAAAGGAAGTGGAATGATTAGGAGAAAAGAGGACAGGCAAGAGAAAGGTGTGTGTGGAAAAAAAAACATTTGGAAAAAAGGTAAAGGGACCCTTGAAAGAAGACAAATGAGGAATAAATAAAAAATAAATAGCTTAATAAGTACTAAAAATAAATAATAAATAGTATACAAGCAAGTTCTTTTAGATCAAATTCTGAACAGGAGCAAGTTTTGTGCCCTTATAAAGCAGTTAGGAGAAGGAGGTCCTACTTCATGAGAGTAACGTATGAGTCAGACATTTCTACATAATTAAACTGTGATTTAATGCTTAGAAGAAGACCTGTGTTCTCGCACTATGTATGGGCTTCTTCCGTGCCATTTACAGTAAGAGTTGCTCGAAAAGTCGGACCTTCACAAGTTCAGGTGGGTCGGAGCCAAGTGTTTAAGAAGCAGATATTTATTGATTTTATGTTTTCCCATTGATTCCCCAGTGATTCCATTGGTTCATTGTTAAATGAACTTTGAATAATAGTATTCAAATTGTAAGTGCAATTTATGAAAATTGATTTTCTTGCTTAATTATACACAAACACCAGGGTCTGGGGTTTCGTTAAAAAAATGTCAATATCCTTCCTATTATCAAATTCTAACATTGCCTTTTCAGTTTAATCTTAATTATTTAAATGCAATGACAAACCTCAATTTGATTTGTGATTTGTTTGCACTGACAAATACCAGTAATTATGTTTTGTCATGTCAGGACAAAATGGGTTACAGTAACTCAGGGTGCTTTTCCATCCAGGCTTCCGCTTATAAAATATACACATTTCACAACAGCAAGAAGATGTAACACAAACTTAACTCTCTGCGTCATCAGCTGAATAAATTAGAACAACAGTTAGGAGTGGAAGTGACTAGCTGTGTTTGGTGTTTTATGGTGTTTATCTTATTTTGATGTGTGTGTTTGAGAGGGAGAATGAAGAAAACAGAGGGTGAAACTGATTTATGAGCAGAAGACAAATGTTTACAGGACTGCAGCTGTGCAGTCACCACAGAGGCTGTATGTCAGATTGTTGAGCCTCTAGTGAAGAAACATGGTGCATCAGATACTAAGTTTGTCCATCAAACTTCAATTTCCTATTTAAATGAAAAATGTTCAATAACTTTAGCTGCTAAGTTTGGCCATTAAACAAATTTCCTATTAAAATGAAACCTTTTCAATAAGGTTAACTTTTAGGTTTGGCCTCCAAAAATCTAATGTCAAGGGAGAACAAATTAGTTAAAGTAACAATGGCTGCATATTTGGATAAAATATAATATTTTTCAATAACATTAATTAATACTTCTAAGTCTATCTTATTTAAAACGATTTATTGACAAAACGTTTTTTTTTTTTATCAGTAAACATCAACAGAAGAGAGAGAGAGAAAGTATAATCATTACAAATAACACAAATACTTATTAACACAGTATATTGAATTTAGGCTCACCCCCACAATCATGGTATAAACCGTGACATCATTGATGACATCAGCAAGAGAATAAAAAAATAGTGTTTGGCTGCCGCCCCCTTTGAAAACTCCTGGAGGCCATGGTGAGTGTGAACAATCAAGTAGCTCGGATTAAGCCAACTGTATCTATTTAACCAAGAAAAAGCGATGGAAATTGTAGCAAAACACAGCTTACCTCAAACAAACCTGTGTTTCAAGTGCGAAAGATAAGCGCTAAACAAAGCATGAAATTTGTGTAACAGTTGTTGTGTACACACACACACACACACACACACACACACACACACACACACACACACTAGCATTAGTAGCATTAGTTAACCTTTGGGCATTAGGATAGCATGAGCTAACTTTTGGACCTTACAATTAAGAAGATGGCTTTAGCTCCTCGAATATTATATGTCTAGCTTTAGCTACTAACTCTTGGACAGGTGGTAGCATTAAGCTTCATTATAACATACCTGAAGAAGTACCCTAGAATAACCCTTACCCATGTGTTTAATGCCACATGGTAGGTAGCTACTAACTTATGGAATACAAGGCTAGTATGAAGCTAACAGTGTGCAGTGCCACTTACATAAATCAGACATCAGGCTAGCATGAGCTGCTATCTTAAAGTTTTGACATTACAAGGCTAGTATTAGCTGCTAAACTTCTAATATGTGGACATTATAAGGCTAGCATTAATCACTACTCTAGGACACAATGCACACTGTGTCTGCATATTTTTCCCCATTAAGTGTATTTCACTTTTTGTTGTTTATCTGTTGAAAGTCTCTGTATACTGAATTACTGAAAACCAGGGTTTTAAAAGAGAATTGGTTATTTGATTCTCGTTATAAAATCTTCTTCTCAAGTGATTTCACAGGCAGGTGAAAAAGCAGAAACCCGAGTACTGCACGCACAACTTTATCACAGCTGTAAGAACTACAACACTCAGCAGCCTCTGGCTCTGTGCAGACTCAGTAGCAGCCTGAAGATGGCGTCTGCTAGAATGCAGGCATGTGTGTTGATAGTTCCATGACTAACTTTTTTTGGTTGTTTCATCTCCTCTTTTGTATTTTCAGATCAGAGATACCAAGGAGGAACGTTTCAGAGAGGAAATACCAGACGAGATGGTTCTTAACGGTGAGTTTAAAAACCCATAAGAACATGTAACGTAACCACAACCTCAGCTAATCGAGTTAACTTTATTTTGGTTAATCACTCCCTAATTCTTCACATCCGGTCTATGTACAAAGGAAAATGATTTCCTTTTGAAATCACTAAAAAGTTGTATATAAACTGTAAGAGGTTAATAGTTTACTGTGTAAGTGTTGATAGCTGATCACATCAGATGTCAGATTGGCGTAACCTCATGGTGAACATGCTGAGAAATGAAATGCTGTTTTAAACTGAGAAACCTGATGTTAAAGCAGTCATTAACCAATAATCTCAATTCTACTTTAAACAATCCAGTTATTTTTACTTCCTTATTATTGACTGAAATGTTGTTCATAGACTCTTAATGATGTTTGACATCAGTTACACAAAGCAGTGCCTTTCCACCTGGGAGTTTCTCCAGCATGTGGTGTATTGTATATTATGTACATTTTTATTCATGCATAACTTCTTTTGGCAGAAAAATTGTAAAATGTTATGAAATGCACATTTTGATAATTGTTATATAATATACCATTATCATTATTTTATTATCATTATTTTTTTTTTTAATATAAAAGTATTAAGGCAGTGAGACAGGAAATAACACAGTGTATGGGTAATATGTAACCCAGTTAATGTTGTTGTAATGTTAACTGACTTACTCTTTCTTCAAAGTTCATGACCCTTTTGTTTTATTCCATTGTGATGCTATGTAAGGGGTCAGTTCATACACTTTTCGCTCACTTGTCAGTCATAGGAGTATAGAAGCCATGGTCAAATAAATTACTCCGTTTGGACAATTAAAATTTTGAAAAAAAACAACTTAAAAATATCTCATCAGTATTTCAGCAGTCTGAAATAAGAGAAAGTATTTCATTGACCTGATTCTGAAAGTATCATATGTAGTTTTAAAGATGAAACTCAGCCAGGAGATGGCGCTCTCCTGTTTATTTGTTCAGCCATGTTTCATGAGCACAGGAAGTTCAAGCATAGCCAGCACCATTGTGTGAACATTGCTCCTGTCAAAAATACTAAGAGAAAATGCCATCATACACTTAATTCAGGACAGATTCTTTTGATTTCAAGGGCCTCCTTCTGTGACTCCTTATTGCATTTCATATGCAGTGTGACTCCGTTTTCACCTGTTTAGGATAAGAACACCAACATTATTTATAACTGCTTTGCCATGCCTAAGAAGCAAAATGGGTTTCCTCTTCCTGTTTTGGCTCATCTCCAGTCCTGTGGTACTACATTCACCCCTGACTGAGCAAAATCATATACTGTGTGTCAATTTCTTTACAAACATATAGATAGTATAGGGCTGTAACCACCAACAAAGACACAGATTATATAATTGTCTGTTTCCATGGTTCAAATAAAGGTGCAAATTCATTAGTGAAATATAAAGTGAATACAAATATATTCTTACACCTTAGCATAAAAATGTAGCACAGTAGTAATTGTGTGCCTAACATTGCCAATGGGACCAAATTAAAAGTAGAAACAAGAATATGCCACCTGTCTAAGCCCCCCTCCCCACCTCACACCTTGCACGCCTTGACGTTTGGTATGTCTTAGTCTTAGTTATGACCCTTGCTGCAAAGTATTCAAGCTACTGTAAAGCTGAGAGTTCAAAGATAAACAAGGTGTATACATTTTAATGGCTCGTTCGAAAAGGACAATCGAGAGCACTATTACAGCCACTTACCTGTGAGTCAGTGTGAGGGGAAAATAACTCCTTCAGCAACGTTTTACAGGTATGTTTTTTTTAATTACAGCTTTTACAATCATTATCATTATTGTTATCATATTATATTCAATTATCATCACTACTCTCCAATAATATGAATTTAAATCATAACACAATTTTTTTTTTCAAAATGTACACATACAAGTAGCATATCTTAAATGTCCATAATTTAAAACATATTTCCTTTTTTTCAACCTAAAATCAAATTACAGTCAGTCTTAAAACTAAGTATGAAATGAACGTACAGTTTAATACACACACATACATACTGTACATACATACATACATACATACAATAGCAGTTATCATAAAAAATGATAAAAATAAAATACACACATTTTACAAAGTCCTGACCCAAGCTTTCACATCATTAGATGATTGATATCATGACGTTCACTCTAAAATGGTTGATTTTGGCATGCATATTAACACAAATGCTTAACTCTCTTTTTCCCAGTTTGAACAGGATTTTGTCATAAAGCACTTTGCTAATTGTCTCATTGTCTGACCTATTCACATTTGTGCATCTCTCGTCTGTTATGGCTTAAGAACATACATTTCATTTACCCTTTATACACTTACATTCTCCCTTTGAACCTTCCTCTCCCCAGATTCTACTGTATTGTTATGTTACTAGGCAGAGTATGTTCTATTATTAGTCTAAATTGTAGTAAGATCACCTGAAAGGATGTGTGTCGGGGAATCATTCTCTTGATCTGAACAGGAATGCATTTTCCAATTTTAAAAACTATAAATTCATTGTGTCAATATTGCCATCTCACACTCAAAAACATAAGATGAATTCACGATAGGCGATGGTCACTTTCTACAGAATCAAACAGCATCATGCCACAACTATGGATCAAGATGGAGTGAGAGAGAGAGAGCGAGCGAGAGAGAGAGAGAGAGAGTAAGAGAGAAACAGATGAATAAACAGACATTCACTCATTATTTTATCATCTTTTCAGAAATCATTCACTCAGTGTCTTTGATTCTTCGAGGCGTCTGGCTCGAACGATGTTTATCATCTTCTAGTGTCCATTTTTGATTTTGAGCCTCAGTTTTTTTGTTTTTTTTTCTTCAAAAATGTGGGGTTTTTTTTCCCTTGGGTTAGGATGGAGGTGGGGGTCTGCAAAACAGAATAAGACACACCTGATGAACCGTAATAGCTCCTGCTAAGATGTGACGTTTGATTTGGTGTTCACACAAGCTGTTTTTAGCTACAGATACAATCGTCTGTGGGGGTGCTTTTCTCACCTGGTGTGCTTATCTTTTAGCAGGAATATGTTCTCACGGACCCCGACTCTCCTCTTGGACCAGAGTTTACTGACAGAGAGAAGAATGTAATTAGTAAATATACTGTATACATGTGGTTCTAAATCGGTCAAGTATCTCAAACTGAAACAAGTAAACCTGCAAAAAAAAAAAAAAAAAGGAGTGGAGTTTTCAATGAAGATGTTTTACTGTAAATCCAAAAGGCTCCCTCAGTCCTCACTGTTTTGAGGGATAGTGCTGGCATTTGCTTGTGTAAGGTCATGATATGCCTGCTGTGGAAATTAATTTTAATAAGTATGTATAAATAAAATGACAAGAAAACAAGTAACGCTGCGCTACTTGTGGATTCTTCTTCACCAGGGGTGCTATCAGATGGGAAGCTGTGGTGGCAATGGCTACTACCTCACAGGAGTAGTTTAATATTATGGGAAATACACTTATTTGCTTTTTTCCCAAGAGTTAGATGAGAAAATATGGGGCTAAAGTCAGCACCTGATTAGCTTAGTTTAGCGCATGGACTGGAAACAGGTGGAAACAGCTAGCCTGACTATATATTATGGCTGTAACGTAAGCTGTGTTACTGAATACACCACCTTACAAAGTCTGTTGTACAGACTCTTACATTAAGAAATGTCCTGTATTTACTCAGATCAAACAGACTAGACAGGAGGGCCAACGTGTCCATAATATCAGAAGATACAGAAACACAAGATAACACAGCTGAATGACATAAACTTGCTTATATGTTGATGAATTGCATATCACAGTCAGTTTTTTAAATCTCTAAAAGCTGGAATCTGTATTATCAAAGGTAATGACTGAAGCCAATATGGCAGCCTGGAAGGTAGAAGAAGATCATCAGTAGTATAAATGACATACAATTTAAAACTAACTAAGCCAATATCATTGATTCACAAGTGACAGAATCACCACTGAGTGACCGGTGCATGAATATGTGTATTGCCTTAGGGAAATTTCCACAAGGCAACGCAGGCAATTCCTCAAGGAAGTTTCTCATTCCCGTTTTCAATTTGTGGCTTGATTTCCACGCTACGTCTTTACAACAGCTCCTCAAAATTCCATCATCTAAATGCTTTTGACCATGTTAGTGGATTTGACCAACATTTTATCACCGTTATTTTCACTTGTTTGAAGGGTAAATGAGCAAAGAACATCAGGCTAAAGTAGCACAAATTTGCACGCAGCATAATCTAAGTACGCCTGACTAAGTTTGTTAGTAAAAGTATGAGTGGTTTAACATTTCATAATGCACATTGTGTTTGTTTCCTCACAAATAGGAAGAAAAAAAACAGTGTAATGCCTGATCCTGGCAGTGCTGCTGTCATGCCCACTGAGCGACTCCTCACCTTCACTCTGGACTTTTCTCAGGGTGACAGAGGGGGTCGAGATGGCGGAGGCACGGAAGTTGGCAGGTAATGTTTCTGAGGAGTCGGAGGTCACGCCACGGAGGTCCTTCTCTCTGAACATCTTTCTCCATGATGGTGATCGTGTAAATGTTTTCGTGCCATCCTGTATAGACAATTAAATATCATCAGTGTTCACAGTGGCTATCTATTTCAGGGTCTTATTCATTATGCATAAGTGGGGTTTAACAAAGTAGTATTTGACAAAGCAGGATTTGTTGTGACAGTATACCACAGTTGCACAGTTTTTAGTCCTACATGCTGTAACTAAGCAATTAGCACTGGTGTAAACACAGCTGAACCACGCTGGCATACCAACAATTTGCCAGCAGTGCATGCGCTGATGCCATAAAGGCGCTTTATAAGGAAGAGAGATACTTCAGTCTGCTTCAGTATTTTACCAGTGGTAAGGAAATGATCATGGCACACATTTAACAAAGAGCAAGAATTGAAAAGTTTGGATCAAAGGCCCTATTGTTAAGTAAAATAGTCTTAGTCTGGGTGGTTACAATCTACACACACTCCACCTCCTGGCAGGAGTGATTATCTTGATTGATTTTCCACTGACAGTCTGCTTTGTCGTACCTCATCTGGCCTCCTCTCTGTTCCCATGGAGATGAGAGCATTGTACTCCTTCTCCAGGAGCTGCCTCGCCTGCAACAGAGTTTTAAGATCATAATTAAGATAATTTAGGGGTTGAAGATTGGGATTATCTCGGCAATAGGAAAACAGAAGGTGTTGCAATGTGAATTTCTCTACAGAGATGTTTTTCTACATTCAGCTTCAACGAGCTGACAGTAATGGTGGTGTATTGCGGAGTACCTGTGTGTTCTGATTGGGTATCTGGAGGAGGAGGGCCAAGTCAGTGTAGTCAAAGGTGTCATCTAGCGCCAGGAGGGCCCCGTGCACCCCGCTTTCTAATAGGTTGTCGGCAAACTCTTTCAGACCGATTGACTGCACCCAACACATCACTCGCTCATTGGACCACACCATCACATCTGTGTAGAAGGACGCAGAAAAACGGTTATCTCCAGTTCAATATAGTTGCAGGAATATGTGTGAATGTACTGTATGCTCTGAAATCACGTCTGAAGAGAAGATTTTCCCATTAACCACAGGGCTCACCTTGATTCTGATGTTGACTCTCATCCCTCCTCCTCTCCAGCTCCTTCCTGTCATAGTTCAAGCGCTTCAAGCACATGATGCCATAGTGAAGACTCACCCTGTAAGTGAGAATGACACACTGCTTTAATTTTCACCAAAGCTGGTGTGTGTGTATATATATATATATATATATATATGTGTGTATATATATATAGAAAAAGCAGAGAGACTCAAACAGATCTGACAAGGTTGGATAAATGTCACGAATAAACTGTGAATCTCTCTTTCAGACCTGTGGAAACTGTCCACCATTTTCAGCTGACCCCTCAGCTCTTTCTTAGTGAGGTGATCAAGCATGCGGGCGTCCACCAGTGACTCCATGAAGTAGGAGCGGTACTGGGGTAGACCCAGGCTGGGCAGCCATTCGTTTCCCACCCACTCGTGGTTCATGTCTCCATAGGCCAGGATCTGGAGGACGGAGGGGGGTGATGGAGACGAACAGAGTGAAAGGACACGGACGAGGTGTTTAATAAACCAAAAGAAGTATAAAAAATTCCAGAGTCTAATATTTATTTTATTGATTTTCTTCCCCCCAGTTTCCCTGTGATGTAATTGGTAACATCTAGGACAACAGCCTGAATTTGAAATGAAAAATAACACAAAAAGATTTCCAGTTTAGTTTACTATCACTATATAGTCAAAATGGTTAAATATTTGGACTAAAGGTTCCTCACTCCTTTTTTCATTATCTGAGCCTTTGTTATAAAGAATGGCATCATAGTTTTCATGTGCAACCTAAAAGTTTCAAGAAAACAGAAACTCCCTCTGTCTGCAGGTTTTTCCCCAGCTCCCTCTCCTTCCCTGGGCACTCCATGTTTACAGCTGCCAGCCAACAGTCATGCAAAACATCCCTCAGCTTTGCCAGTTGATTGAACAACTTTTGGATTGCCAGTTTGTGGAAAATCCTCAATTAGCATGACGCTAGCTCTGTGATGCATCAGGAAAACGCGACCTCAAATTGACTGTTACATCAATAACATAAAGTGTGGCTTATTAGAAAGTGGGAAATTTAGACTGAAATGATTAAAAAAAAAATTCCAATTCATAGTCTGCTGTGGAAAAAAGCCTCATAACTCAAACTCTGATTTTCACTCTGTTGTTCTCTGTGCTGCTTCCAGAGCCCTTCTGGTTTTCATTATAGCCATTTGATGAGTTTAAGATTTACACACTTTTACCCTCAAGTGACAGAAAACAGACTCTGGTAAAGTGTACAACAACATAGCTCTTTATAAATAACAGTTTACATGAGAAACAATGCAGTTTACATGCCAAGACAAGTAGTCAGATCGTGTTAGTTTAATGGAGTAATTGATTACGCACATATGGAGGTGGTTTTGGCATAAGGTGCTTATAGCTCAGTAAATTATGTTTGTGATTAAAAACATCTTGGGCAGTTTTAATATTTCATCATTTCCCAAAGTTCCCTGAGTAATGAGTCTGTTTCCATCTTGACCTGACACCAGAGTGGTTCAGCCTTCCAGTAATAAACGCCACATTATGCTGTGGCATGTGATGATCACGTGCACTGATTAAAAAAAAAAAAAACTCACCTGGTCCCAGCTGAACTCCTTCTGCTCCTTGCGGTTCAGGCAGAGAGGAAATGAAAGAGAAAAGGGGCAGAGAGTGGCAAAGAGAGGGGAAAGATCAGGGACGGAGTGTGTTCGTGTTCGTGTGTGTGTTATGGTGAATCGGTGTCAGGGCAGAATGAGAGGAGGAGAGGGGAAAGGCAGAAGGAGGAAAAGTTTTGTTAGTGAGTGAGAATTAGTTGGAGAAACACTACATCAAAACAGATTTTGAGGGAATAGTAAGGGAAAGGTGAAGCCAAACATGCCTAATCAGAGACAAAGAAAAAGAAAAGAGTTCATCAGTACGTGGGCTCCGCTCATACTGCTACGTGTTTAGAGGCCAAAACATAAACCAATTAATTACATTACAGGCCTATATACAGAAAATACTGCAATAGGGTTTGTATCAGAACTGTCTCAGTTTTATGTAAATGAAATAAGTGCAAAAGCCATGAACATAAAGTAAAAAACTAACCTAAAATCTCTAGAAAAAGATTTGGTATGTAATATTATATTCAGTCTTACTGGCTTGGTGGCAGCAGTGAGAGACTCCATCTCGGCATGTGTCATCCAAATATTACTGGTCGACTGTAATGACAGTAAACAAATACAACATCTTTCTCCTTCCTTGACATCACCGTATGAATTTGTTAATGTCCCACCTGTGTGCACGTGTTGATTGCACACTGGCGCTTGGAGTTACATCATGCTTTTTTTTTTCTTTTTCTTTTTACTGAGCCTTACAGAGCGCGTGCTTGCAGGTGCAGATGGACTAGTGAGGGAGACCATTTCCTGGATGGCCAGGCGGAGTTTGAGCCTGTGTAGAGGGTTGCTGATGCCAATCTCCCTCTGGATCTCTGTGTCCGAGAGGTTGGCCATGATGGCGCCGCTCTTCACGTTGGCACGACACGCTGCCACATACCATGCTGGCATCCCAACCCACAGCTGGGTAAACAGAAAGAAGACGCAGCGCATATTTAACGCCAACACTTGATGAATGATGGTGCTTCCAACGATCAGGTGACAAAAACCAATGTTTAAATGTCACTGTTGTATTTGCTGAGTACAGTTTAGTTTATGAGCTCTAGAAAAGTAAATTCATGAATAACTTTGCATCACATTAGACTATCTGAACTGGACTGATCCTCTCATTTAACAGGACAATGTGCCATGACGTACCTCCAGCCATGTAACAACAGTTGGGCCGTCCCATGAGGCGAAAGGAAGACCCTGACGACAGGCTTCCTCTAACAAATCGTGCCTGGCAGGGAGAGTGGAAAACAGAAGTTTGACGGAGATTAATTTCTTCATATCTCACCTTACCACTGTATCCTTCTATAAATAGAAAATCACTCTGAACTTGAGATACCATGACATCTGTGCCTTGCAGCACCATTGGGTCATATATTTTTTCTAAATAAATGATACCAGGGGAATTAAAAGCCCGAGCCCTGGCCTTGTTAGTGTCATGCTTTACTAATGGCACCTGACTGTGCCATTTACTAAAACGACTGTACCCTACAGGAGGGTTCAAAAATCTTTGTATAACATGAGACGTGTGTGGAAAGATGACTGATCTCACTTCTTTTTGCTGCGGCGGTCTTTTTCAACTGTTCCCGTCCCAAGTTTAGCGAGACCTAAGGGGTCAGCTGAACCCAGGTCATCAGACGGTGTGGAGGCTGAAAAAGGTCAGAGGTTAAACGTGATAATTACTTCATGAATTCACCTCGCTGTCTGTAATTCTCCCTCACTGTCAACAGATACATTTGTCACTTGGAGAGGAAAAAAATGGCTTTTGGGATTTGAGTAGTTTCCAGTCGGTTCACCAACCCAGTGAGGCAGATTCACGCCCAGGTGCACCGATCCTCCCCTTTTCCTTTTTGCCAAAGAGACGACCAATTGACGACTTAATGCTTTTCTTTTTGCTGGCTTTGTGGAGGGAATCCTGGCTGGCAGTGGTGACACCATCAGCAGAGAGACTAGACAGAAATGGGGAAAGAAGAACGAGGTGAACGGCGAAATCGCTCAGTCTTGATGCTAGTGTCTGAACCAGACGAAGTATTTATGAGTAAATGCTCCTGAGAGTACCTGCGAAATTCACGGTGGTCATCGAGGCCTGCCCCCGGGTGAGTGTGTGTCATTCGGTCCAATCGTAGGGCTCGAGGAACAGGGGGAGGGGTGGAGTCAATCAGGGCAAGTGCTCTGCATTCCTCGCCATCTTTGCTATTCTGTAGGGTGCGAAAAATTTCAGTAGATTTACACGGTTTGACTTGATCTGTAGCTTATATCACAGCTTTGACGCCTTCGACGCAGTACCTGTCTGTCAGTCTCCCTGGCAGGGGAATGTGGGAGGCGGGGGGTGGAATGTCCAGAACTGGGTGGTGAGGGAGACGCCAAGGTGGAGGAGGTGATGGAGGGAGTCATGTAGCCCCTCCCGACACTGTCCCGTCCTCCCAAAGAGGACGGTGGAAGGGGCGGGGCATCGAGGGCCACGCTGCTGACCCGGCTCTCGATCTCCTCTGCCCTCAGCTCTGTGCTCTCTTTTTCCTCCTGAATCAGCCTGAGAGAAGTGGAGAAGGAAAGGGAGGGAAAAAGAACAATTTGTTCAAGGGTTTTCATTCTGGACGTCCAACATTTCTGTGGGTGAGACAGACAGAAAAGGAAACCTGTAACACAATTTACTTAATCTCCTTGTTAATGGCCTCCAGTTGTTCCTGTAGCATGATTGCCAATGTCTGTACATCTGTCTGTCCGCTGGGAGAGAGAAGCTCCGATCCAAACAGAGTCTCCCTGTCGTCCTCGTCATCGGAGCAGCCCCCCTCCACACCGCCCTCAAACCCAGGGCCCAGCATAGAACCGCTGTCCCACTCTCCATACTGGAAAGAGGGGAAAATGGTTGCAGGAGATGATGTCATCCTAATAATCAATTCAACATCATCATCTGCATCACAATCATCAACATTATCTCAGCCTCAGCACCTTGTTGCCATCGTCTCTAGGAGGCCCCCACCGGCCGCGGTGTGCCCGCCTGACCACCACCCCACTAGAGGAGCTGCCGTAGCCAGCCGGGAGCGAGCCTCCGCCCTGGGGGTACCGCAGCTCTGAGGCGCTCCCTGGAAGAGATCTTCGAAAAAGGGTGGAGGGAAGTGAGCTCACGCTGCCCGCCCTACGGTGAGATCCAGAATTCATTTGTTACGCCACAGTACTTGAAAAGGACAATGTCCCCATTTTCTGGGTGTAAAGTTACAACAAACAAGTCTCTGTGGAAAAAAAACAATCGTATTAAAAGAGTTGCATCCACATGAATTAAATGCGTATGTATTATTTGCATATTTGGCAGCTAGAACAACACCCTCTAGGTGCTGTATCAATAATTACTTTTTAAAATAGATCTTAGTGGAAGTACATTAAAACTAAACAGGAGAGTAAACAAAAAAAAATTGTGCTCAGATGGAACAGTGTAGATATAGTATCCCTTGGGAGATTTTGCTTTAATTTGGGCATTCACAAAATGTAGAGCTTACTGTGTTGTATAAATAAACCCCCTTAAAGGTTCATTGTGGCTAACCTGGAATAAGAAGAGCCAGGCCTGCCTCTCAGCTGATCCAGCTCCAGTTGGATTCGCTCCAGCTCAGCAAGCAGCTGCTCCTAAAGTACAGAGGAGAAAGGCTTTAATCTGACCCCTATTTGTTAAAGATCGTCTCTGTTCTTTGTAGAGAAAACGTTTTATAACCCTTTTGGTATTGAATGTTCAGCA